AATAAACAGGGGCCTTTTAGACTAAAGGAAAAACCTCCCTGCCAAATCTGAGGTTACTAAACCCAGTGCATTCCCTAATTTTAAATGTTTTCTACATGTTTTCAAATTTTAAAAAATTTTAAAAAATAAATACTTTTTGAAAAGACAGGACATTTTTTTTAGCAATTGAAAAAGAAAACCCCTTTTTTTTGTCAAGGCCCCCCTGTGACCTTGACCTTTGCCCCATGACCTAAAAAATAAAAGGGGCCCCTTATAGCCCATGATCAACACCCAAATGCCAAATATAAAGGGACTTTTGGGTCAAAGGGAATCTTAAAGTTAATGGGAAACAAACTTTTTAAAAGTAAAAGGGCCCCCTAGGGCCCCTTAAACCTTTGATCCAGGGGGACCTAAAAATCAATGGGGGTCATCTACTAATATGATCAAAAATCCATCCCAAAATATGAAACTGTGGGTAAAAAGGAATTTTAAATTTAAATTGGGAAAGACAAATTTTTCTGAAGTCAAAGTCCCTGTGACCTTGCCCTTTGCCCGGGGGTGCCCTTTCAAAAAAAAATTTGGGGATCACCCTTACTAATCTGACTAACCCCCCTTTCCCAAAAATAGGGAAGACTGGGGGCCAAAAGGAATCTTAAGTTTTTGGGCGGACAAGCTTTCTAAAATAAAGGGGCCCCTGTGCCCCTTTCCCTTTGACCTGGTGACCTCAAAGTCAATGGGGGCCCATCTACAAATTTCATGCTAACCTCCATCCCAAAAATTTTAAAAGACTGTGGGTCAAAGGAATTTTAAAAGTTATTGGGGGAAAAAGTTTTTTTAAAAGCCCAAGGGCCCCCCTGTAAACCTTGATTTTGCCCCTAGTGCCCTTTCAAAATCAATGGGGGCCCAATTTTACTAATCATGCCCTAACCTCCTTTGAAAAAATATAAAAGACAAAAAGGGTCAAAGGAATTTTAAAGGGAAATTGGGGGGGGACAAAAAAAAAACCGAGGGCCGGGAAACACAATTTGATTCCAGTATCCCCCCCTTAAAACTTTTGTTGTGCGGGGGTATAATAAAAAAATTTAAAATATTCAGGTTTGGTTCCAATGCACAAAAATTAAAGAGAAAAACGGATTTTGAAAATTTTTTTTGTTTTAAAAATTTTTTAATGCATCCCCAAAAAAAAAAGTATTCATTTTTTTTTTTAATAAAAAAATTTAAGGGTTTTTCAGCGAGCAGAATTTGCAAGGGAAAACCCAATTTTAACATAAGCCTTTTAAAAAAGAAAATCCTTTCAAATATAAAATTTTATTTAAATTTAAAAGAAGGGGGGGGTGTGTTTGAAAAAACCAATAAAAATCCTGTGATATCGTTGAGAAAAAAAATGAAATAATTAAAAAAACCAAGGGTTAAAATTGGGAAATTTTTTTTAAAACCCTTTAAAAAAAAAAAAATCAGAATAAAAGGAGAATAAATTTTTGGCAATGGAAGCAGAACAATTTTCTTTGTACCGAAATCCCTAAAGGGAAAATTGAAATCCATTTCTTTAAAAAAATAGGCAATACGAGTGAACAAAAAAAATTCTTAAAAAAAAATTTTTTCCCCTATTTCCCGGGGAAAAAAAAAGTCAAAACAAAAATTTTTTAACATAATAAACCCATTTTACCCTAAACATTTTTAAAAGTCTCTTAAATAAAAAAAATAAAAAAAAAAATGAAAATGATTTATTTCTAAGGGTGTAACATTCCCTTTTTTAAATATGTCAATTTTCCTTTAAATTGCTTACCCAAATTTCTCCCAGAAACCAAAAAGTGAAAACCCATTGCCCCCTCACATAAAAAAACCCAAAAAAGGCCCCTGTCGGAATTCAAACCCCCACACCCGGTGAGGGGCAAGGGGGTTTTGAAGTAAAACGCCAAAAATCCCCAAGGAGAAAAAAAGATTTTTCGGTATATGAATATTAAAATTTTTGGGAAATTTTTGTCTAAAACTAGCAATCCCCTTTCCGTCACATTCATAACTTCATTTTTTTTTTTTTCCCGTCTCTTTGATTTAAAATATTAAATGGACTCGGGTTTAACATTTGAAAGTTTTAAAAAAAAACGGGCCCAATAAGAAAATAATTATGATCAATTACATTATTGCAGCTTAATAGAGGTATTCATTTCCCTTGTCAAAGAAAAGGCCCCGCACATTTTTATTCGGGGAAAAAAAATCCCCTTTCCCGAACAGAAATGAATAACGGGAATTTCTATATTGTCAAATAAAATTTTTATTTTTCCTAAAATTTGGGGAAATATTACATTACATCTGAAAGGGCTTACTTTACATGAAATCAATGAAAGCATCTCCCAATCTGCTGTCAAATTGACGTCTGCTGTAAAATTTGACGTTTCCCTTTCAAATTCAAGTCTGCTGAAAAAGCTAATGTAACCCTTCAGAAATTTATATAAAACCTTTAAATGACATCTGCTTTTCAGCTTATACATAATAGGGTTTTGGAAACGTCTTTCAATTTTTTAAAAATTATTGTCTGATTGCATTTAATTTGGAAACATCTTTTTAAACTTGTAGTTAAAAATCTCCCAAATTAAAAACCTTAAGCCCCTTTTTATGCTTTTCCCAAAATTTAAAAAATTGGGATGTTTAAAAAGTTCGCTTTAAAATTTTTTTTTAAAAAACCCCAAAGCAAACATCTAGTATAAAGTTTTTTTAGATTACTTTATGGCTTTCAGACCTATGAGCCCGATAAAATGTTAAACCTTCAAAATCTCCCAAAAATGAAAATGTTGCCCTTACCCCCACTTAAATTGACAGATACTCCCAAATTTTTGTTATGTTTTTTCTACTTATAAATCCAAATCTAACATCTTGCTTTTTGGCCCTGAACATTTTGTGTCAAAAATAACCCAAAAACTCTTCCTTATGGAGGAACAAGTACATTTTCTTTTCTCCTTATTGAAAAGTGTAGGGCCTTATTTCCCTTTGAAGAGCACAATCCTGATTCCATAGTGGAATTATAAAAGGGATTATCACATTCCTGGATTTTTTTTTACAAAAGGGTTTTTTAATTACATGTATATCAAAAAGCTAAAACAAAAAAAATTTCTTTTATGAACACGCATGTCTTTTAAACTTTTTAAAAAGAATATAAATAACTTTCGATCTAAAAAATCACAAATAGAAATTTAAAACAACAGTTTTAAACACTTTCCCCCAATTTCCTAACAAACGACAAATTTTTCTGTTTTATCTCCAGGTTGACTTTTTAAAGTCGTCTGCTGACCCTTGGTTTTTCGTTTTGGGGTGAGGATTTTTTTCAGAAACTTAAGGGGTCTTTAGCAGAGGAAATTTTTGGGATACGTTTATGTTTTTGGGGAAATTTGGGAAATTTTGGGGACTCAGATTCCTCTTTGACGGTTCCATTTTTTGACCCTTTTTAAGCAAACAGTTTTCCCGCAAAAATTTAAATTAACATAAAAATTCAAAAACATTTCCCTTTATTTTTTTTAAGTTAATATTTTTTCACATCACCCTTTTAAAAAACATCGAATTATAAGGAAGAAAAACCATGACTTATAAGTTTTAAAAATAATTTACACCCAAACAAGAGCTTACTCTTTTCACTTTTTTTTTCACCCCCCAGGGCATCAATTTTAAGACTACAGGCAAGAGCATTCTACCTGTGTAAAATGTTTTTCTGCTTTGGTTGGGAACAGATTCAACCATGTAACATTGGGGCTGTCTTTCTTTTTGGTGTGTTTCTATTCCCCTTTTTTGACAATAAAATATTGAAATTTCTCTAAAACTTTTTGGCCCTTTTTTAAAATTGAAAGACGGTGGCTTTGTTAAAAAGAAATTTAAATATGGAAAAAGTCTATTTCTGATATTTAGCGTGTTTACAGTTAAAGGGGTACCCCTTAAAGGGCTGTTTTCCCTTCCCCCCAGGAAATATTTTTTTCTAGTTTAATTAAAAAATTTCTGTACCTAAATTTTGCTAAGAAACCCCTTTTTTTCCAAAAAAATTAAAAGCTAAAATGTATTACCCGTTTTAATATTTTCTAATTTCTCAGACCAAGAGATTTCTGTTGCTCATCCTCTGTGTATTTTTGGCCAAGAATATGGTTATCTTTTCAAGTTAGTATACAATCTTTCTAGGTTTCTTCAAGAACCCTGTCAAGTAAACGAAAATTAGAAATTGCATGAAAAATGTGTGGTGGGTGAAGAATAAAGAAACATCATATTAACACTCTCTATTATGAAATTATCTAAAGGTCAGTGGGGTCATTGGAAGCAAAATTCAGAATAAATCATAAGTGCATTTTTAAAAAGAGTACTTTAATGTACTTTGTAGTGTGATGGGTAGATTCTAAATTGGCAAAAAATTTATTTTTCTAACTCATAGGTAAACCAGATTTTATAATTTCTCCAATACTGTTGAATCTTTATTAAAGAATATTCTGAAAATTATGTCTGACTATTGAATAAGACCAAAATTAAATGTAAGTTGCCTAGCAATAAGTCACTTAACATATATACTCACAACTAGTTGCCTAGCAACCAATCACATAACATCTGTACTCCCCACTTATTGCCTAGCAATCAGTTACAAAACTTTTATACACAAATTGTAACAAAGCAACCAGTTACATGTCTAATATATTCAGTGACTAGTTGCCAACCAACCAGTCACATGACTGGTACACACTATAAGTAACTAAGCAACCAGTTACATGATAAATATATGCAGCACCAGTTGCCTAGCAATCAGTCACATGACTTGCATACTCACCACATTCAGTATCAGTCTCGGTCTCGTCTTCAGTGTCTTTCATCATATTATCACCTTTTTCTGTGTCGGATTCACCTACAAATACAGAATAACTAATCTGTCAACCTTGACACATCACATTTGCAATCAAACATGTAAATATGATTCTAAAATTTTCTTATTAATACAATTTCCAATCTCCATTCTATTTCAATCATTGCTCTGCATTTGAATATTTCATTGATTTTTCTGAAGCTGCAAAAATTTAATCTAATAATGCAAAAGGATTGATGGCCAAATCAAGATTAATAACTCATCATTATATTCTTGAATATTGCAGGGACTTTAAACAGATTTTTTTATGGTAAAATAATGATTTAGCTAATGGCCTTTCAACTCATTCTTGGACTAAATCTTCCAGTTAAGATTCATCACACTTAAATGTGTCCCACAATTTCTATTCATCTCCTCCACTTTGTTCATGACAGAATTAGACATTACACACATGTAAGTGTATGACAAAATAGTTAACTTTAATCCCTTGCAGGGCACAACAAGACAGTTGGTTTTATTTTTTAATGTTATTGATGCATTATGCAACATAACTTAAAATTGCATGAATCTGCTACAATCATTCTTGTAATTCTGTTGACAAATCCAAAATAAGACTCCTCATTATGAAACCTTTGCAGCACTGGTTTCTTGTACTTTTAAACAACCTTTCACTATTATAAATTATTTGATCATCATATTGACAGTATTATGTCATACTGCTCTTTTCAAAACATTACAGACCAATTATAATTAAAAGTACACTCTCTGTTCTTTCTTTATACACTTGTAGGAACCTGGGTAAAACCATCAACCTTCCAATAACTGACAAATTTCTCACATCAAAGAATTTAATGTCCCGCTCATGATTCTTGAGGAGTGGGAGATTTCCAAGTCTGCAAACTTATAACTACTTTGCATAGCATTATCCTGACTTAGCTTGACTTAAGACACAACCTCTGGGCCATGTTTTGACAATAAATATCTGGAAAAAAAGATCCCTTGGAAGCATTAAAATCAGCAAAATTACATGAAAATTGCAGACTCAATTTGATTGCACAATTTGATTGAGTCTGCACATGAGGGATAATGAAAAAGTGCAACATCCCTCACGCCCCCTAGCACCGGCTTGAGCGGTACTTAATATTCAGTACTTTAAAGTGGTGAAATCAATGATCCCGTAGGACCAGAAAAATATAACAACATTGAACAATAAGCAAGATATTCAACACCATACCTTCATTGTCACTGTCTTCCTCCACCCAGGTACCAGGTAATAAACCGGCTGTAACTAGAGAGTTGCACAGTGGCGCCACCAGGTGATTTATAAATGTTTCCTGGAGTTTAGGTAACTGTGGATTTCTTCTATCCATATAAGGAGATATGGGCATTCCTAATCTAGACTCTTCATCACCCTGTGAGAGACAACAGTAAAACAGAACATTTGAATAAACTTCAATCTTTCTTGCTTTATTTTTGTTTAGTTGAATGTGACTTTTGAATAACAATGATAACATTTAACCCATTAAGTCAAGAATGGTCTAGACTTTCATGAAATATTACCGGTATGTCTTGTTTAGCTCTTAAACAGACTTGGTCCATCTATCAATCCAGCCATAACCATTTATCATAATGATTTAAGGAAAAATATCAAATTAAGTACTGACTGAATAGTGAACGGTGCAGACCATGATCAGACTGCTGGAATCGACAGTATAAGTTAAATATTAAGAGTACTGAAAAAAATTTCAATCTGAATTATCAACACATACTTTATATTGGTTCAGAAATTACCTGTTCATAGAATTCTTCAGCTATTCTGTAAGTCCAGGACGTGTGTAGATCTTTAATTTTAGCTGGACCGTTTATATCAGCGAGTTTTATAACCATCTGTGCCACCTGTAGTCGGTCTGTCTCTACTGTCCAGTCAATACCAACAGCATGGTCATCATTTACCTGAATATTAACATGTCTTTATTATAAATGATGTATTAATTAAAATGTTATGCTTCTATATTGCAGTTTTAAATTTTTTATCCTATTCTTACCCTACTGGATTTCACAGTATGTGAACAAAATCATTGTACCATGTCCTTCGAGCCAATATAATTCAATGTGTACCATGTCTTGCGAGTAAAAGCATGTTACTTCCAATCACTGTACCTTACTTGGGAGACTATATATTTCAACTTATTCCTTATTTGTGATAACAGGAATTTAAATGATGAATTTGCACTTTGAATTTGAAACAGTCCATTTGAAAGTATCAAAATACAAAAATTGAGCAAAGAAAAGTATAGAGCCTGGTCGAATAGTACAGAAGTGAAGACTAAGCCTGTCTCTATACTGGCGCCAAAGCCTTAAATCACTTTCACTTCCAGCAGGTAAGTAAATGCAACATTTTCCATAACCTCTTCATATGGCACCCTTTGTTCATTGGGTTTATGATGACAAATAGATTTCATAACAGTATTTGTTAAGCAATTTGAATGTTTCACAAACATTCTTAATTTTGCATAACTACTTTTTTTTTTTTTTCAAAAATAGCAATTTAGACACTGAATTTTATTTATATTTCAAACTAAAGTTTATTAAAATTAAATCAACTAAAATGGAATATTTGTAAGAAATTTTGCCTAATTTCCATTTTTTCAATTTGCACTTTAATCATAATTCAAAACTTAATTGTTTTGCTTATATTCCAGATGGCATTATTTTCAAATTAGCACTGAAATCATATAGTTTAACATGACATTTTACTTACTTTGGCATTAAATTCCGCTAATATTTCAAAATGGCGTTTTAGATCTGTAGCGAGGATAGCTTCAATAACAAGGTAACGAAACCTCTTAAACTCCGCCTGATCAAGACCTGACAGGAAGTTAAAATCGGGACTTGACAGGAACAGGTTCCAAGCAGACGCAGCATGGTGGTTTTCTAGAACTGAGCGATCATTGTATAGTACAGCCTGGAAAAACAATAAATTAGATATAAACAGTATCACACATTTGTTGTCAATACACTAAATGGACTTGTCCATCTTCCATTTTGGACAAAACAATTCATCGATTTAGGGAACATTTTATAAAATATGTACTGACGGAAAAGCAAACAGTGCAGACCATGATCAGATTGCACAGATATTTCATCAGATTTTGTCTGCACTGGTATCATATATAGGTTGATTCAGTCACCTCAAACATGCTAAGGGTTAAACAAATCATGGAAAGTGTTATAAAATCAGACTGTAGTGAGCTTTATATCATTTCATGGACAATTTAAATACATATTGATGAAGCTTCAATGAATGTAAGATTTTCTTTCCATCACCTATATCATAAAGCAAGTAAACATTGAAAAACAGCTCAACCATCATAAAATGTTCCATTTCAATATTATTCCTTTATATAATGTTATGGGACATTCTGATATTTTCCAATCAACACTTAGTAATATTTAAAAATATATGATGTTCATATTGAAAACGGGCGACATGAAAATGTGTATTAACTCTTTTCAAGCCATACACAAGAACATCGAGAGAGTTATAAAAAAAGCTTGAGCTTCCAACTCGATCCATAAATTTTCTGTACCTTATTATGTAAAAATGTATTGATTATAAATAAATATTGTTGAAACTATGAGAACATCCGATCACTTGTATAACTAACTCGGTGAAAATATAGTTAATTGAGCCGCGTCACGACAAAACCAACATAATGGGTTTGCGACCAGCATGGATCCAGACCAGCCTGCGCATCCGCGCAGTCTGATCAGGATCCATGCTAATCGCTATCATTTTCTCTACTTGTAAAAGGATTGGTAAGCGAACAGCATGGATCCTGATCAGACTGCGCGGATGCGCAGGCTGGTCTGGATCCATGCTGGACGCAAACACACTATGTTGGTTTTGTCGTGACGCGGCTCTTATAATGTGTCATGAAAACCTCACCTGAGGTGCGTGTGTGGCAACTAGGAATGCATTTGTACGACCTGGATGATCATAGTCATGCATGGCGGCAGCAGTAAACATGGCCATCAGTTCTAGAGGCGGGAAATTCCCGCCCATAATACCGTAACTGTCATCAGCAGCAAAACTGTTCGCTCTGTAAGATGGTGGCGACCTTTCACTATCTCCTTCTGTAAGTAGAAACATCACAAAAATATTAACTATACAATGCTGGAGCTACAATATGATTTCCATATAAGTTTTAACGATTGACGGAAATCTGATATTTTCAAGCCAGGATATACAGTAAAACTATATGTCGAATTTTGAGAAGTCGTTTTTCTCGATGCGTCTAAGAAAATTGAAAGTTCAAATGGGCCCCTCTGTGAAGGTTGCACTGTTTACTCAAAATATAATCATCATAACAGCTCCTTTATTTCTCCTTTCTTTTTTTGTCATACAGACATCAAGGTGAAGGCATAACAGTAACAGTTATGACTGTATTACTTTAACTCTTGGCCTGCCGCACCAACAGAATTTGCACACATGACCAGTGCAGACCAAGTTCTGCCAGCACATCTGTGTGTGGACTGCACTGTTCGCTATTCAATTGGTATATACATGTACTTTTTATGTTTTCCCTAAAAATTTATTAATGGTTTAAGTCCATTCTGACAGATGGACAAGTCCATGTACCGTACTGGTGAGATATCAGGGTTGTATCAATAACAAGGGCCATGATGGCCCTGAGGTCGCTCACCTGTATATAGGCCCCCCCCAACCCCCACCCCCCCCCCCAACGTTGCAGGGCCAATTTAACCCAAGGGCTTTTATTTGCACAAACTTGGTAGACACCCATAAGAAGATGTTTCATGCTAAACATCTAAGCTCTAGCTCATGAGGCTTTTTAAAAAGAAGATTTTTTTAAAGTTTTTACTATACACATATAGTTAAAAACAATGACACCCCCTGGGGCCGGGCCAGTTTTGACCCCAGGGCTTTTATTTGAACAAACTTTGTAGACACTCACTAAAAGATGTTTCATGCTTAATATCTTAACTCTAGCTATTTGGGGTTTTTTCAAAGAAGATTTTTTTTAAGTTTTTGCTATACACATATAAGGAAAATCAATGACCCCCGGACGGTGCCAATTTTGACCCCAGGGCTTTTATTTGAACAAACTTGGTAGACACCTATTAGAACATGTTTTGATGCTAAATATCTTAGCCATAGCTCTTTGAGTTCTTTTAAAAGAAAGATTTTTTAAGTTTTTACTATATGCATATAGGGAAAATCAATGACCCCCCGGGGCGGGGCCAATTTTGACCCCAGGGCTTTTTATTTGAACAAACTTGGTAGACACTTATTAGAACATGTTTCATGCTAAATATCTTAGCTCTAACTCTTTTGGTTCTTTAAAAGAAGATTTTTTAAGTTTTTACTATATGCATATAGGGAAAATCAATGACCCCCTTGGGCGGGGCCAATTTTGACCCCAGGGCTTTTATTTGAACAAACTTGGTAGACACCTATAAGAACATGTTTGATGCTCAATATCTTAGCCATAGCTCTTTGAGTTCTTTAAAAGAAGATTTTTTAACTTTTTACTATATGCATATAGGGAAAATCAATGACCCCCCGGGGCGGGGCCAATTTTGACCCCAGGGCTTTTATTTGAACAAACTTGGTAGACACCCATTAGAACATGTTTGATGCTCAATATCTTAGCTCTAGCTCTTTGGGTTCTTTAAAAGAAGATTTTTTAAGTTTTTACTATATGCATATAGGGAAAATCAATGACCCCCCGGGGCGGGGCCAATTTTGCCCCAAGGGCTATTATTTGAACAAACTTGGTAGACACTCACTAGAAGATGTTTCATGCCAAATATCTAAGCTCTAGCTCTTATGGTTTTTTAAAAGAAGATATTTAAAGTTTTTTCTTTCGGTTGCCATGGCAACCAGAGTTCTGCATGGAATTAAATTCTTTGAACAATTTTTAAAGGTGACCACCAAAGAAACATTCCTGTGAAGTTTGGATGAAATTGGCTTAGTGGTTTATGAGGAGATGTCATTTAAAGTAAAAGTTTACGGACGGACAACTTTTTTTTTTCAATTTTGACCCCAGTGCTTTTATTTGAACAAACTTGGTAGACACCCATTAGAACATGTTTGATGCTCAATATCTTAGCTCTAGCTCTTTGGGTTCTTTAAAAGAAGATTTTTTAAGTTTTTACTATATGCATATAGGGAAAATCAATGACCCCCCGGGGTGGGGCCTATTTTGACCCAAGGGCTATTATTTGAACAAACTTGGTAGACACTCACTAGAAGATGTTTCATGCCAAATATCTAAGCTCTAGCTCTTATGGTTTTTTAAAAGAAGATATTTAAAGTTTTTTCTTTCGGTTGCCATGGCAACCAGAGTTCTGCATGGAATTAAATTCTTTGAACAATTTTTAAAGGTGACCACCAAAGGAACATTCTTGTGAAGTTTGGATGAAATTGGCTTAGTGGTTTATGAGGAGATGTCATTTAAAGTAAAAGTTTACGGACGGACGCCGGACGGACGCCGGACGAAAAGCGATCACAAAAGCTCACCCTGTCACTTTGTGACAGGTGAGCTAAAAATAAGCTGTGAACCATATGAGAGTCCGGAGCTATTAGCTGGTTATAATCTCCAAAGCACAAAACAATTTTAACTTCTCAACATATATCTAATATAAAAGCTGTACAACATAAAACAAGAGGGCCATGATGGCCCTGAGGTCGCTCACCTGTATGTAGCCCCCCCCCCCACCCCCAGGCCAATTTTACCCACGGGCTTTTATTTGTTTATTTGAACAGACTTGGTAGACACCCATAAGAAGATGTTTCATGCTTAATATCTAAACTCTAGCTATTTGGGTTTTTTCAAAGAAGATTTTTAAGTTTTTGCTATACACATATAAGGAAAATCAATGACCCCCCGGGCGGGGCCAATTTTGACCCCAGGGCTTTTATTTGAACAAACTTGGTAGACACCCATTTGAAGATGTTTCATGCTAAATATCTTAGCTCTAGCTCTTTGGGTTCTTTAAAAGAAGATTTTTTTAAGTTTTTACTTTATGCATATAGGGAAAATCTATGACCCCCTGGGGCGTGGTCAATTTTGACCCCAGGGCTTTTATTTGAACAAACTTGGTAGACATTCACTAGAAGACGTTTCATGCCAAATATCTAAGCTCTAGCTCTTATGTTCATTAAAAAGAAGATTTTTTAAGTTTTTACTATATGCATATAGGGAAAATCAATGACCCCCCGGGGCGGGGCCAATTTTGACCCCAGGGCTTTAATTTGAACAAACTTGGTAGACACTCACTAGAAGATGCTTCATGCTTAATATCTTAGCTCTAGCTCTTTGGGTTCTTTAAAAGAAGATTTTTTAAGTTTTTACTATATGCATATAGGGAAAATCAATGACCCCCTGGGGCGGGGCCAATTTTGACCCCAGGGCTTTTATTTGAACAAAATTGGTAGACATTCACTAGAAGATGTTTCATGCCAAATATCTTAGCTCTAGCTCTTACGGTTCTTAAAAGAAGATTTTTTAAGTTTTTACTATATGCATATAGGGAAAATCAATGACCCCCGGGGCGGGGCCAATTTTTGACCCCAGGGCTTTTATTTGAACAAACTTGGTAGACACTCACTAGAAGATGTTTCATGCCAAATATCTAAGCTCTAGCTCTTATGGTTTCATTAAAAAGAAGATTTTTTTAAGTTTTTACTATATGCATATAGGGAAAATCAATGACCCCCGGGGCGGGGCCCCAATTTTGACCCCAGGGCTTTTAATTTGAACAAACTTGGTAGACAATCACTAGAAGATGTTTCATGCTTAATATCTTAGCTCTAGCTCTTTGGGTTCTTTTAAAAAGAAGATTTTTTAAGTTTTTACTATATGCATATAGGGAAAATCAATGACCCCCTGGGGCGGGGCCAATTTTGACCCCAGGGCTTTTATTTGAACAAAATTGGTAAACATTCACTAGAAGATGTTTCATGCCAAATATCTTAGCTCTAGCTCTTACGGTCTTTAAAAGAAGATTTTTTAAGTTTTTACTATATGCCATATAGGGAAAATCAATGACCCCCGGGGCGGGGCCAATTTTGACCCCAGGGCTTTTATTTGAACAAACTTGGTAGACACTCACTAGAAGATGTTTCATGCCAAATATCTTAGCTCTTAAGCTCTTTGGGTTCTTTAAAAGAAGATTTTTTAAGTTTTTACTATATGCATATAGGGAAAATCAATGACCCCCTGGGGCGGGGCCAATTTTGACCCCAGGGCTTTTATTTGAACAAACTTGCCAAATATCTAAGCTCTAGCTCTTAGGGTTGTTTAAAAGAAGATATTTAAAGATTTTTCTTTCGGTTGCCATGGCAACCAGAGTTCTGCATGGAATTAAATTCTTTGAACAATTTTTAAAGGTGACCACCAAAGGAACATTCCTGTGAAGTTTGGATGAAATTGGCTCAGTGGTTTATGAGGAGATGTCATTTAAAGCAAAAGTTTACGGACGGACGACGGACGGACGGACGGACGCCGGACGAAAAGCGATCACAAAAGCTCACCCTGTCACTTTGTGACAGGTGAGCTAAAAACTGAATTCAGTGACCTGACCCAAAGTGACCTTGACACAAAGACCCCTTTGTAATGAATTTCTTACAAAACATCAAATACAGGTTTGAAAAATACGATTATTAGAAAGTGAAAAGTGCGGTAATCGTCTTAAGATATTATCATGTGAACTCATCAAGTACTAATGAGATGCCAGAATTACAAAGATAGCAGATGACAAAGTAGACACCAATACAGATGCCAACAAATGAAAGCTTATAAACTGCCACGGCAGTAAGAGATCTGACTGTCAAATGTCAAAAACTACCAGTATTCATATTTTTGTATGCATACAACCCACGTAGTCGAACATTTATCAAAATTTTATGTCAAAACCTGAGCTTTAATTTTCTTTTTTCCCTTTTTCCATCTTGTTGAATTCATTTAGTCATAGGAATACAAAAAAGAACAAACGTACAATCTATCATTTTTCGAGTATATTATTGAATACAAACTGATTTATGCCATATTTTATACAAAATATTGCGATGATGAATATCGGGCCGATGTGTTTGGGAAATCGTACCCCAA